TATAACCTAATGTCAGTGATTTTTGTAAGAAATTACAAAACTACTGAACTTCAAGTTCCCGGGGGCACGGCTAAAAACTGAACAATTGATTTCAAAGTTTGCAGTTAATATTAAATTGGGCATTTACAAAAAACAGGTGGGTGCCACAAAAAAAATTTAAATATTTATTTTTAAGGGCCACCCTAAGGTACTTCCTATAGGCTATAACTATTTAAATAATTAATTTTTTGGATTTTTATCATTAAATGGCTCATCTACACACCAGTGTAGCGTTAAAAAAAATTGTGAAAATCGGCCCGGTAGAACTACAGGATATAATTGTTGTGAGAAATCTCGCCTCACGTTCTAATAATATAATAGACACTAAGTGACTCTTAGCAGCCTTGCTGACATATATAACCTGGTAAATCCAACAGACATATCCATGCTCAATCTAGAAAAAACCTACGAAGCACGTCAAAAATGAATAACGATTTCCTTTCTTTGGTTACGCGGACACTGTGGTAATCGCAGTTTAGTTGTCATAAATAAAATAAAATTCCACTATAAAAATAGTTAAAATTGTAATCGTATTATAGCAGTTTACTAAACAAAAATTATTTCACACAGGTACTCGGGATATCCATCAGGACGACGTACGATATTATTAAATTATTATTTATAAACAGATAAGGTAAATTAAGTATTAATTTGGCGCTATTTTTTTTATTTCCAGTAGTTATAAGTGAACATTTCGTTTAAAATTATGCAAAAAATCAAATGTCGACTTCTATAACTTGTCAGATTTGTAAATAGAAAAAACTTTTTATACAAAAACATTTAAAAAATAAATAAATAATCTATCCGACTATGTAGGAAAAAAGTAGTGTTTCCATTTAAAAATTTGAAAATCATAAATATATGTGTATTTAAGTACTATCTTTCATTCAGTGAAAACCCTATTTCAATACAAGGCCATCGTTCTGAAATATTTAGTGGTATCTCTTAGCGTGATCACACTAATATAAAAGCGTGTATTTAATATATTAGTCATTGATGTAGTACCTACCTAATATACTTAGATAATAATAAAAATAAATAATTTTGGTAAAAATGTTTGGACTTACTAACACTGATTGTTTATCCTAAGATTTACCAAATCTCGTTTTTTAAAGTCCGAGCTACAAAAATCATTCAGGGTTTGACAAAAAAATGTTGTATATCCTAGGTTTTAACAACAGTAGTCGGTGAAACATAGGATTTACCAGTAAATCCTAGGTTTAACCGGTATTCATACCTAACCTAACAAATATATATATTATATATTGATAAGGGGTTTCATAAATTATAATTTTAAGCATAAAGAATGTATGATAAAGTTATCAAGTTTTATCAAATACTTTAAAAAAATTATGTATTATGTATTTAAAACCACTATATTTTCAAACACACGCTAAAAACTTACTTCATTATTGTCAGCATTTAATGAGAAAGAAAAATTGTCCAATTCATTATATGAATATAAGATGTCATTTGTATCAGCACCTAAGATTATCAGTTAAAATATATTAAATATAGAAGTTCAAGAGCAAGATAATTAAGATTAATTTTACCAGTTGAAATAGCTTCAGAAGTATTTTGTCCGTAAATTGATTTTTCCTGTAAATAAACAATAAAAAAATATTTAATTTTAAAATAACTACAAAAAAAAATGGTAAAAAATATGTTTTACAAACATTGTACAATACACTTTTATCAAAGTATTCAGATATTTTCAGATTATAAAAAAAACTACTCTTTGTACGTTTATATGATTTCCCTTTTATGATTAAATTAATACGATAAGATAAAATATACGACACCCAGACAAATCGCCGCCACTGACTCATCACCATCGTCGTCTCTACTCGTTAGACAATAGTAAATAATATTTTACTTTTTTAATATTTCATTATGAGTTCAAGAATCGGACATTTTTATCGTAATATTATTTCTGACGGACAAACGTGTGAAGTATTCAAAAAGCAAACAGTTGCTACTTCAAAATGAATAAAATCATTTAACGTGCAATAAAGTGAAAGATGGCGTCAGCTGTGGCGGATATCTTAAAGAAACTACTAGAACAAGTAAAAAGAAAAGTTCTGGTGGATCATTTAAAAGAACAATTACATTAAGATGCACGAAAAAAGTGTGTCAAACTTTTCAATAAATAGGTACGTAATGGCAATCGGTTTTTTTTCATACACTGATCTCAATGGTAGATGTAACAGCAAGTTAAAATCAATGGAAATTATGGATTTGTTGTGGTTTTGGGTCTACCTTAACCATGTTCAAACAACAGTACTTTGGCAGGACGAAGCAGCCATACTGTTGTTGATTGATACAGTTTGAATAGAGATGTCGCAGTCAATTGTTTTTTAAAACGTCAGAAAATGGGTGGACAAGGTTGTTGTGGAAATCGGCGTATCACTTTTTCAAGAAAAAAGAAAATTTAATCGTGGACGTTAGGTTAGTTTGTTATATTCTGATCAAAGAACAGGAAATGAAAAAAATGAGGAACCACTAAACAATAACGTAACTGAATAATCAGCAGAAGAAAATAGAACCAATCAACGAAATTATGGTTCACGAGTACAAGGACCGTGGATATTTGGTCTATGTTGGCACCACAATGACCTTCTGAAGCACCGATATTTATAGTTCAAAAACGTGATATAGAAACACTTTTACCAATTAATCAAAGAGAAGCTGAAAAGGGAACGAGAATTCAGTGACCAGAGGAAGGTATACGCTACACTAAATGAACACACACTCAGAAAAAAGATAGTTTTAATTTTTATGAATTCGTTTCATAGATTTGTGGTTTTGTTACTTTCTTCAAAAATATTATAATTTTCTTTAAAACAATGATAAAGTCATCAGMTTAAGAATACTTTTTTTAATTCAATGAAAAAATGTTTTCATTAAATTTATTCATTTTCATTAATTGTAATACTTATTTTCCTTTAAAATTAAGAAAGACTATGATTTAAATTTCAAC